TTTCTCTCTTTTTTACTTGTTTCTTTGTTATTGTTATCATATTTGTTTCTGTTTGTTTTCTTTTCATTTTCTCTTATCATTTTTTACTGTTTTTCTTAGACCTTGTGTTTAGCTCAAAAAAAGACAAGATGTGAACATAGAAGATGTAAACGAAATGTTGTTGCTAAGACGATAGTAAACATAAATCGTAATGAACATTGTTGTATGGTTTGTGCGATTCGTTGTTACAGAGAACGGGGAAAAAAAAAAGAAGGAAGGAGAAAATCATTTTTTTTCTTTTTTGAATCATTTTTTTTCTGCTTTTTAATCAGTACATTTATATCGAAAAAAACTAAAAAGTTTGAATGATCTGATTAAAATTTACTGAGTTTACTGCATTTTTTTTTCCCCTGCTGTATGTGTACGTTTTTTGCTTTGTCTGTTCATTGGTTCATTTGTTTGTGTATATGATTTTTTTTCACCTTTTTAATATCTATATTTTTTCTTTTTTTTTTTTGCACCTAATTTCTTTTTATCCTGTTTCATGTATTCAAGGGAAAAAAGAGAGAAATTTAATTTTTTTTGCAGAAGGGAAAAAATTGTTTTTATTCGGGTGAATCATTGGTGTAAGTTTCGTTATTTTTTTTCTGATATATTTTTTGCGGGTAATGTTGGAAGGGTGGTAACAAATTTTTTTTACGGGAGGGGAGCCAGAAAATGTGGGGTGGGGTGGGAGGTGGGAGGATATGGGAAAGGGGAGAGGGGAGGAGAGGAGGGGAAGATTTTGATCTTTTTTTGGTGGTCGGGCAAAATTTATAGTCCAACACAGTGGTTTTGAAAGATGGACGGAGTACTGGAACGACGGGGAAGGGTGGGGGGAGGCTAAGGAAAGAGGAGGTAGTTGGGGGAGTCGGTTAGTAAGGCATCCAAATTTTTCTCTCTTCAATAATAATAGTAATTATAATGATAATAATAATAATAATAATAATAATAATAGTAATAATAATAATTTTTGTACATATTAAAAATGTATTGTAAATATAATGAGTATCAATGACTGATCTTTGAATACCATCCATTTCGTTGTTGTTTCAATTGGCCTTCCTTTCAATAATGTACTGAGGACTGTGGAAGGATTTTAACAAGTTTGTTTTGCTTTATTGTTTTTTTTTTCTACTTTGCCGCGCTCTTTAGCTGCTAATTTTAGACAGTGATATATCTGAAAGACAGGATGGTTTTTGTTTACTGTATTAATGATGTTGTTTCTTTTTCCTTTGTTATGCTCAAAGTTTTGGCAGTTTTTATCTGTCTGCTTGTTGGCTTCTTTGATTGATTTTTTCTTTTACTTTTTGGTTGATTCATTTATTCATTTACCTATTGTTGGCTGTTCATAATATGTGAAAGAAAACATTGAGAAGAAAGAAGGAAAGAACAATGAAAAAAAGTTTTTTGAACAGTTGTTGTTTGTTCATCACTTATTTCAGATCTGCAAAAATGTTCAGCTTTTTCCCGTTTTTGGACATTGAAAAAAAAAAAAAA